ACTTGCTCCTGTATTGGCTCCTGGAAAAAAATCGCCTCCAGATGAAATACCGTTTTACCATATGAAGAACAGAGAAAAAGCATTATAGAGCCACCTAGCACCCTGCAACCATGGGCCAGAAAACAGAAGGCCAAGGCCAGAGCCATCTTCGTTTTCCTATTCTCATTAAAAATGTCCATCACCAGTGTTTCTTTCCTCGATACCTCCAGCTCCCTAAGCAAGCCAGACGACAGGTCTCTCAGTCCGTTCCAGAGTGACCAGGCATTCGTTTATGGACGGGAACAGTGTAAAGAGATGAGAAATAGTGGGGAAGAAAGCAGGGAAATCCAGACAGGCCCAGAATGAAAGCCAAAATTGGGGAGAAAGAACTTTATGACAAGCTAGAGATGACAAGGATGTTGCTTCGTAGGTGTTTAAGGAGATCAATCTGTGAAAATAAATATATGAAGAGAAAAGGAATAAAAGAATCATGGAGTGAGCAGACCAAAACTAACAGAAAATAACAGAAAATTCCACCACCATATGAAAGCAGGTGAAAAATATATGGAAACAGATATGGCCAAAAAAAAGGATGCAGACAACGAAGTAAGCGGACAGAAGCCCGAGAAGAAAAACGGGGTTGGGGGAGAAAGGAGACGAGGAATAGGAAAAATGAAAAAGCAGACACAGGGCGACTGAGCAATACAGAAAGCAAAGATGCTGGATAAAAAGCAGGGTTCTAGAGTGGGAGTGGCTCAACACGAAGAGGGGCATCCAGAGGGGGAACACAGCGCTGGGTGACAGGAGGGGGTCCAATATGGAGGAAAAGCGCCCTTCTCAGAGAACCATCAGGCGCGGCCCACCCCGGGGCGGCAGCCGGGGAGGGGGCCCACAGATGTGGGTGAGAAGCCAAGAACGCAGCGGAGGGTAGGGAATTACGGGCCCAGGCGCAGGGGTCACCCCCTGAAGCCAGGACAGTGGGTGGGTAGGGGCACACTATGGATCCTGAATGAACGGCCAGAGGTGCAGGTCCCAGAGTAGAGGTACCGGAGGGGGAGGGGCAGGCAGGCCCGGCAGCAGGAGGACAAAATGGCGGCGGCTAATGGCAGCTTCTCCTCCCCCCCGGCCCGCCACCGCCGCCACCACCGCCGCCGCCACCACCACCGCCACCACCACCGCCACCACCTCTCCCGCGCCGAAAAAGGGCGTCAGCGCACGGTTCACCCAGACTCACCTGGCCGGGTGCGCGGGGATCCGGGACCCGGGCCTAGGGGTTCCCCGGGACGGGATGGCGGTGGGGCGGGGGAGGATGGCGGCGGATGGCGCCGGGTTCGGCTCCTCCCGTCTCCCTCGCTCACTCCGCGGCTGAGCTCCGACTAACGGCCCATCCGGGCAACCGCCGCCCCCGGGAGCACCCCCCCAACCTCCCACCTCCCTCCGCGCCTAAACACGCCCCTTGATTTGCATAAAGGGCGGGGCGCTTTCTACCCTAACTCTCTTTACTTCCAGGGCTGTCCTTAGTTTTAAAAAAAAAAAAAGCGCCGGGCGCGCGGAGCATGCGGAGGTTATTTGCATGAAGAGGAGGGACCTGAGGATACTAGGACGTCGATTGGCTAAGGAGGCGGGCCCCCAGCGTCGGCCGTTGAGACGTGTTGAGGGGGCGGGAATGCGGTGCAGGTCGGCTGGGCGGTTGGGACGCAGAATTTACACGACGAATGTGGGAGAAAGAGGCGGAGCGTGCGTCGGACGTTCGTAGACAGATGGGAGCGGAGAGACGCCAAAAGTGGAAGGCAACGACTCACGGCCCGTGGCGCCTTCAGCTGGGGAGGAGAGAGGGGACACGGGCTGGCGGGCGGGATTAGCTGCCGGAGGGCGGAGTTTCCGCAGACTTGGTACGAGTTCTAGCTCTAGCGTCCCTTTGCCGTGAATTTGGGGAGGTGGTTGCAGCAGGGGGAAATGCATCAGAGGGGCGGGGCCTTCCAGTTGTTAAATCACGTCATGCAAATAAGGTGGATAGACAGACCAATCCAAAGGTCCCGGGAGGCGTTTCGCCCGCACCATGTAGCGTAAGCATTCTTCGGGCAGTTCTATTTATTTGCATAATGTATGCAAATCGTTTGAACAAAGATAGGCTAGGAATGACTTGTTCATCAAAATATGGGCAACCATCGACTAAGACGAACATTTAATTTTATAACCTATAACTTTCGTGAATAAATTTTTATATTTGATATCGGGAATTTGTAATTTCTTAATGGGTTTCATTTTGTGAAATGCAGTACTGTTTCTCTCCTTTGTCTCTTACTACCCGATTCTAGAGCTCTCTGCTCCCATCGGACCTAATATACCCATTCAACAGATCATTCAATGACTATGATTTGAAGGCGCTGGAGATGTGCACAGGACATTACAGAAGTAGAGAAATAACACCGGGCCTGGTGGCTCACGCCTGTAATCCCAGCACTTTGGGAGGCCGAGGCAGGTGGATCACGAGGTCAGGAGTTCAAGACCAGCCTGGCCAACATGGTGAAGCCCCATTTCTACTAAAAATACAAAAATTAGCCTCACGTGGTGGCAGGCGCCTATAATACCAGCTATTCGGGAGGCTGAGGCAGAGAATTGCTTGAACCGGGGAGGCGGAGGTTGTAGTGAGCCAGGATCATGCCAGTGCACTCCAGCCTGGGTGACAGAGCAAGACTCCGTCTCAAAAAAAAAAAAAAAAAAAAAAAAACCAACCAGAAGAATGGGCGCGGTGGCTCAAGTCTGTAATTCCAGCACTTTGGGAGGCTCAGGCGGGCAGATCACCTGAGGTCTGGGGTTCGAGACCAGCCTGACCAACATGGAGAAACCCCGTCTCTACTAAAAATACAATTACCCAGGAGTGGTGGCACATGCCTATGATCCCAGCTACTCGGGAGGCTGAGTTGGAAGAATCACTTGAACCTGGGAGGCGGAGGTTGCTGTGAGCCGAGATGGTCCCATTGCGCTCGGGCCTGGGCAACAAGAGCGAAACTCTATCTAAAAAAAAAAAAGGAAGAAAGAAGTAGAGAAATAAAATATGACTATGCCTGGGGTGCTTGAGACATGCTTCTAGAAAAACTGTTAAGAGATATGAGTCCGGGCGTGGTGCCTCATATGCCTGTAGTCCTGGCACTTTGGGAGGCTGAGGCGGGCAGATCACGAGGTCAAGAGATGGAGGCCATCCTGGCCAACATGGCAAAACCCCGTCTCTACTAAAAATACAAAAATTAGCTGGGCGGGTGATGCGTGCCTGTAGTCTCAGCTACTTGGGAGGCTGAGGCAGGAGAATCGCTTGAACCTGGGAGACAGAGGTTGCAGTGAGCCGAGATCACACCACTGTACTCCAGCCTGGCAACAAAGTGAGACTATGTCTCCAAAAAAAAAAAAAAGAAAACGAAAATAAATAAATAAAGGGCTGGGAGCGGGAGCAGTGTCTCATGCCTGTAATCCCAGCACTTTGAGAGCAACATGAGACTCCATCTCAGAAAAAAAAAAATGAGATATGAAGAACGATTGGAGTAGATATCTGTCAAAAAATATAAATAAATAGATATGAAGAACGAGTTAGAACTTACCCAAGTTTGAGAAGAGGGTGTACATCTCAGGCGCAGGGAACAGATTAGTGAAGGCATGAGTTTGGGGGCCTGTGCCTAGGCTGATGTGGCTAAATAAAGGAGACTGCTTGTTCATTTTGGAAAGTGAAGGCAGAAAAGTTTGCAGAAATCAGATGAGAATTTTAGTCAGAGGCTCAGTAAGATTTAAGATGACTTCTGTTTTCAAACTTCCAAAATGATTCTCTTCTCCCTTCTCCCCTGCTGGCTACCACACATACCATTTTGTTACCCTTTGCAGCAAAATTCTTGTAAGGGCTGTCCACAGTCATCGTTTCCAATGAGTTTCTCCTTCCAGTCTCTCTGTTTTTTTTTTTTTTTTTTTTGAGACAATCTCACTCCTGTCGCCGAGGCTGGAGTGCCATGGCGTGATCTCAGCTCACTGTTACCTCCACCTCCCGGGTTCAAGCGATTCTCCTGCCTCAGTGTCCCTAGTAGCTGGGATTACAGGCACCCACCACCACGCCCAGCTAATTTTTTGTATTTTAGTAGAGATGAGATTTCATCATGTTGGCCAGGCTGGTCTCCAACTCCTGACCTCAGGTAATCTGCCCACTTCAGCCTCCTGAAGTTTTGGGATTACAGGCATGAGGCACCGCGCCCGGCTGTAAATTATTTACTTTATTCAATAGCACCAGTTCTTTCATTCATCCACCCATTCATTCCAGTTTTTTTTTTTGTTTTTTTTTTTTTTTTGAGACAGAGTTTCACTTTTAGTTGCCCAGTGCAATGACACGATCTCGGATCACCACAATCTCCACCTCCTGGGTTCAAGAGATTCTCCTGCCTCAGCTTCCCAAGTAGCTGAGATTACAGGCATGCACCACCATGCCAGGCTAATTTTGCATTTTTAGTAGAGACAGGGTTTCTCCATGTTCCTCAGGCTGGTCTCGAACTCCTGGCCTCAGGTGATCCGCCCACCTCGGTCTCCCAAAGCACTGGGATTACAGGTGTGAGCCACCGGCCCCAGCTCATTCAAGTTTTAAACATTATCGAGAGCTTGTGATATGTCAGACACAATAGCATGGGTCACTTTATTCTCATTTTTAGAGAAAAGCCTCACAGAGGCTGAGTGATTTGTCAAAGTGACAAAGCTTATAGTGGTGAAGAATGTTGGTTCATGGTATTCCTTGCTCTTCATGAAATCTGTCATGGGCCTGGGTACCTTGTTTGGACATGTGTTTCTGTCCTGCCTGCATTCCTTGAGGTTAAGGCTGTCTTATACAGTTGGACTGCCACTTGGTGCATGAAACCATCTGCTGTAGTGGACACACTATAGCGTTGTTGATGGATTGTTCATATGGCCAAATCCTTGCTGCCCTTCCCTCAAGACCTGTCTCTCCTTCCCAAACCCAGGAAAAAATTCACCCAAATAAAAATTAAGCTGACTTGATCTGGAGGAGGAGGGTAATTTATTTAATTTGTTGACTCTGGCTTACAATTTTGTCTTTTGTTTCCATATCTGGGTCATTAGAAGCCCCTTCAATCCCATCACCCCTTTTCCCTTCAAATCAGGGCAACTGAGAAATAGCTTTCTTGGCTGGGGGGCCTGTTGGCTTTTCCTTTTCTCTCGCTTTTTCCTCATACATCAGGATCCTGGTTGAGATGGAAAGAGGCACAGGGATCAGGGAACACTCCTCTCAAGGGAATAAATCATAGGGTGCTAGGAAAGGCTAGAAGGGGATGGGGATGTGAGGATGGAAATGGGAGGAGGAAGAGCAGGGGTTGGAGTTTCTGGGGACCAGGACTATGGAAAGGGATGGGGTCAGGACCTTGGAAGGGTCCCTCTAAGGATGGAAGAACGGATGATGAGCAACGTGTAGAAAAGTTGAGACTGGGGACAAGGATAGGGATCGGGGAGGAGAAAGCAGGTAAGTACAGGGGAGGTTGGAACTTGACACTCACATTTTTAGAATGGCAGATCTCTTGCCCAGCATCATCCTGAGAAAGTCAGGGTAGCTGAACGTCTCCCCGGAGCCACTGGACACCTCTCCAATTAATTTCTTTAGCTCTAGGTGAGTCTTGGGGACCCCAAGTTTCTCCAGCATTCGCTTCAGGGACATGATATCTGGGGGCAGAGGATGGGGATGGAGAGAAGGTAGGGAGATCCTCTCTCTCTTCTTCCGCTTCCACATCCCCATTCTCCTTCCTCCCACTCTGGCAGGTGGGCCCCCTCCCAAATCATGAGGAATGGAGCAAGTAGGAGAGACCTCTGTCTTCTTAGGCCTGCACACCCCCCCCCCCCCCCCCGCCCCAAATCACCCGTTTCTCACCAATATCGCCATTTCCATTAAGGTCAAACTCCATGTATTTCTCTGGGTGAGGGGAGAGAGCAGAGGGGATCAGCGCTGACTGGAGGGTTTTCAGCAGGAGATTGAGGAAGGGGTTGCCAACCAACTGCTAGGTGGAGGACTCAACGTGGAAGGAGAAGGGGCAGGCAGAGGAAGTGGGGTTGGGGAGTCGAGGGGCCCTGCTAGGGTGTAAGGAGCTAGAGGGGATGCTGCGAGAGGCCGGCCCGGGAAAGGGACCGCAGTGTGGCAGGAGGGCAATAAAGGCAGGTTCCCCTCTAGCTACCACAAAAGTAAACTTTGTGTCTCTGCTGTTCCTGCCCTGTTCTTGTGGAAATCCTAACCCTCCTACCCCCAGCTCCGCCTCCACCTCCTACAGTTTCCCCCTCACCTTTGAAGCCTTCCAGTTTGGAGGGCAGATCCTCATCACTGCTGTATTTGGGATCATCTAGAAATTGCTATGGAGGGGAAAATAAGAGCCAGGGTAGGCCCTCCCCATGCATGCCCCATCCCCCAGGCTCTGCCCCCTTAGTTCTTCCTTCTACCTTGTTGATCTCATCCAGCCTCTCTTCCTGCTGGGCCTTCAGCAGTCCGAAAGCTTTTCCTCCTGTCGGGGGGAAAAGATTAATCAGCCTTCATCCCTCCCTTCCTCTCTTTACCCTGACAACAGCCCAGGGACATCACAGTTGGCCTGCCTAGGCCAGCTGACTGCCCTCCTAGCCCACAGCCCAGGTCTGTCCATCTCCTTCCTCCAATCTAACGCCGCTGCCTATCCCACTCTCCCTACCCTGTAAATCCCTGGTTTGGCTCATAGCTCAGCAGATGCTGGTAGAGGTGGGGAGACAGACCAAACTGGAGGCCTCTGTCTGCAGGCTCTCCTTCTCTCCCACTAGTCTTCTCAGAAGCCTTCCTCCCAAGCTTCCCCTTTCCCCTCATTCCTTCCTCCTCTGCCTCCCAGACCTCACTTCCCCATCAGGTTCTGCTGACATTAGCGCCCCAGGAAGGAGGGGGAGCCCGGCATAAAATGCAGATTAGAAAATAACATTCTCCCAAATTCCTCTTAAATGAGAGCCCGGTGTGTGCATGAAACAAATATTTTGATAAGCCACTGGAGGTGTGCAGGAAGGGCAGGAAGACATCAGAGACATTTATTCTCAGGAACTGCTCTTTTTGAACAGGTCCAAGGTTTGGGTAGTGGTAAGACCTTGCATTTTGTCAGGTTTCATGAGTCTGGACAGGCAGGTGTAGATAGGAAGACAAGGAAGGGCTGGCTGAATTTTTCTGCTCTGTAGGTGACAGAAGAATCTGAAGTCTGCTGGCAGCTCCAGGAGGGCGACAAGATGGGTACAGGGTTTAGAAAGGAAGAGAAACTTGCTCCCAGCCTGTCAGCTCCAAGGAGGCCCTTAAAAATATGGAAATCTCTAACAAAGCATTTTAATTTGTTTATTTTAGTATGTGCAATGTAACCCTCTCATCTCCTTTGAAATCTTTAGTAAAATCTACAGAGATCAGGAATTTAAGAGTTTAAGTAGATTCTTTGGAGGAACTGAAAGTAGTACTTAAAGAAACAGTGTTTGTGAACAGAAGAGCCAGGGAGTGAGGCTGACATCAGGTTTCCGCACTGCATGTGCATGCATGCATGCAGGCATATTTGTGTGATGGGGGTGCTGGTCACTGTGGGTTCAACAGAGTGGATGATAGCCTCTGACACATGCCTCCCTAGGCATAACCTTTATCCCCTCTGCCACTCTGTTTGGCCAGTCACTTCTTGGGGAGGTGAGGACAGCACATTTCCCTCATTGAGATTTCCTTGTCCAAACTCCCTGCCCAGGGCTCCATCTACCCTGCTCTGGCATTAATGAAGACACCTTTCCTTCTCCCTTCCCCCAACATATTTCCTTTTCTGTAGCTGGGAGTTTTCACTTCTCACTGCTCTCTCCCTGACCCAAGCCAGATAGGAGAGATGCTGGAGTGGACTCTGGCTGCCCCTTCTTCTTCTTTTTTTTTTGAGATGGAGTCTTGCTCTGTCGCCCAGGCGGGAGTGCAATGGTGCAATCTCGGCTCACTGCAACCTCTGCCTCCTGGGTTCAAGTGATTCTCCTGCCTCAGTCTCCTGAGTAGCTGGGACTACAGGTGCACACCACCACGCCCAGCTAATTTTTGTATTTTTAGTAGAGACGGGGTTTCACCATGTTGGCCAGGATGGTCTTTATCTCTTGACCTTGTGATCTGCCCGCCTCAGCCTCCGAAAGTGCTGGAATTACAGGCGTGAGCCACCGCACTCGGCCGGACTCTGGCTTCTTGACGTCCCTTTATTGCAGCTGCATTCTCCTGCTGCAGAGAGCTGCAACCCTGTACTCCCACTGTTCTCAGTGCCTGCTGGGAAGATCTCAGTTTTTCATTCATACATTCACTCAACAGATATTTACTGAATGCTTACTATATGCCAGGCATTCTTCTAGGCCCAGAGAATCCAACAAACGAAAACTCTTGTCGTCATGGTTGATCTAATTGGGGAAGGCAGACAATATAAATAAATAAGTATATTAAAGGCACTAGGTGGCCAGGTGCAGTGGCTCACGCCTGTAATCACAGCACTTTGGGAGGCTGAGGCAGGTGGATCATGAGGTCAGGAGTTGGAGACCAGCCTGACCAACATGGTGAAACCTCATCTCTACTAAAAATAAAAAAATTAGCAGGGCCTGGTGGTGTGTGCCTTTAATCCCAGTTACTCAGGAGGCTGACGCAGGAGAATTGCTTGAATCCGGGAAGCGGAGGTTGCAGTGAGCTGAGATCGCGCCATTGTACTCCAGCCTGGGCAACAGAGCGAGAGTCGGTCTCAAAAAAAAAAAAAAGGTGCTAGGTTCCTATGGAGGAAAACAAAGTAGGGAAGAGGGGACATAGGAGTATTGCCGATGGTTTCCGGTTTTTTTGTTTTTGTTTTTGTTTTTGAAACGGAGTCTCGCTCTGTTGCCCAGGCTGGAGTGCAATAGCGCAATCTCAGCTCACTGTAAACTCAGCCTCCTAAGTTCAAGTGATTCTCCTGCCTCAGCCTTCCGAGTAGCTGGGATTACAGCCACCTGCCATCATGCCTGGCTAATTTTCATATTTTTATAGAGGCGGGGTTTCACCATGTTGAGCAGGCTGGTCTTGAACTCCTGACCTCAGGTGATCCACCCACCTTGGACTCCCAAAGTGAGATGGAATCTCGCTCTGTTGCCCAGGCTGGAGTGCAGTGGCACAATCTCAGGTCACTGCAACCTCTGCTTCCTAGGTTCAACCGATTCTTCTGCCTCAGCCTCCTGAATAGCTGGGATTACAGGTGATCACCACCACACCAGGCTATTTATTTATTTATTTTTTTGAGATGGAGTCTGGCTCTGTTGCCTAGGCTGGAGTGTAGTGGCGCGATCTCAGCTCACTACAAGCTCCGCCTCCAGGGTTCACGCCCTCTTCCTGCCTCAGCCTCCGAAGTAGCTGGGACTACAGGTGCCCGCCACTATGCCTGGGTAATTTTTTGTATTTTTAGTAGAGATGGGGTTTCACCATGTTAGCCAGGATGATCTCGATCTCCTGACCTCGTGATCTGCCCGCCTTGGCCTCCCAAAGTGTTGGGATTACAGGCATGAGCCACTGCACCCGGCCTTTTCTTTTTTTTGTTTTTTGAGACGGAATCTCGCTCTGTCACCAAGGCTGGAGTGCAGTGGCAATCTCAGCTCACTGCAAGCTCCACCTCCTGGGTTCACGCCATTCTCCTGCCTCAGGCTCCCAAGTAGCTGGGACTACAGGTGCCTGCTACCATGCCCGGTTAATTTGTTTTTGTATTTTTAGTAGAGACAGGGTTTCACCGTGTTAGCCAGGATGGTCTTGATCTCCTGACCTTGTGATTAACCCACCTCGGCCTCCCAAAGTGCTGGGATTACAGGTGTGAGCCACTGCACCAAGCCCAAAATACATATTTTTTTATTATAACAGTATCACAATGGGAGAAGAGTATTTCAGGTGGAGGGAACAGCAAGTTCAAAGGCCCTGACGTGAGAGTAGTGTGGATATCTGGAGTGTTCATGGAGTGTCAGGGAGGCCTGTGCTGCTGAAGCCAGGTGAGAAGGAGGTCACTTTGGGTAGGGCCTTGTGAAGACTCTGGCTTTTATTCTGAGTGAGGCTGCCTCCCAGACTGGTCTTTCCATTAAGAATGGCTTGACAGACTACTAGGATGAGACAGTGCTTAGATGCTCAGAAAAGCTGCCTGGGATAGAGAAACTGACAGCTGCTCTGACTGTGGGACAAAAATGAAGACTAGACCGGGCGCGGTGGCTCACCCCTGTAATCCCAGCACTTTGGGAGGCTGAGGCAGGCGGATCACCTGAGGTCGGGAGTTTGAAATCAGCCCGACCAACATGGAGACACCCCGTTTCTACTAAATATACAAAATTATCCAGGCATGGTGGTGCATGCCTGTAATCCCAGCTACTTGGGAGGCTGAGGCAGGAGAATCACTTGAACCTGGGAGGCGGAGATTGCAGTGAGCCAAGATCATGCCATTGCACTACAGCCTGGGCAATAAGCAAAACTCCATCTAAAAAAAAAAAAAAAAAAGTGAAGACTGAAGGGTATATAGAAGGACAAGCGTGTGGAGAAGGAAACTCAGGGCCTAAACACAGATGAGGGGAAAAGAATAGACATGCAGGCTGGGCGCGGTGGCTCACGCCTGAAATCCCAGCACTTTGGGAGGCTGAGACAGGCGGATCATGAGGTCAGGAGATCGAGACCATCCTGGCTAACACGGTGAAACCCCGTCTCTACTCTCAAGCCCTGAGAAAAAAAAAAAAAAAAATTAGCCAGGTGTGGTGGCGGACGCCTGTGGTCCAAGCTACACAGTAGGCTGAGGCAGGAGAATGGCGTGAACCCCGGGGGGTGGAGATTGCAGTGAGCCGAGATCGCGCCACTGCACTCCAGCCTGGGGGACAGAGCGAGACTCCATCTCAAAAAAAAAAAAAAAAAAAAAAGAATAGATACGCAAGAAGATACTGGGCTCAGAAAGTGATACCCCAAAGACTGGTGCTTTAAAATGCTGAGAGGCCTTAGAAGCTGCCTTAGAATCAAGGTCCTACCACAGTTTCTGGAATTTCCTTATCTGACTGAAAAAACTTCTTTGCAAAATAAATGCAATTGTCTTAAGACCTCCTGCCTAGAGATCTTGTCAAATAACCAGATCAACTACCAGAGAGAAGATATTGGGAGTCATCATCATCCCTAGATAGACTTTTCTTCTCTTTTGTTCTTTTTGAGGCAGAGTCTTGTTCTGTTGCCCAGCCTGGAGTGCAGTGGTGTGGTCATGGCTCACTGCAGCCTCAACCTCCCAGGATCAAGTGATCCTCCCACCCTAGCCTCCTGAGTAGCTGGGACTACAGGCATGTGCTACCACGCCTTAGGTTTTTTTCTTTTTGAGATGGAGTCTCTCTCTGTCGCCCAGGCTGGAGTACAGTGACATGATCTCGGCTCACTGCAACCTCCTCCTCCTGGGTTCAAGCAATTCTCCTGCCTCAGCCTCCAAAGTAGCTGGGTGCCCGCCACCACACCCAGCTAATTTTTGTATTTTTTAGTAGAGATGGAGTTTCATCATGTTGGCCATGGCTGATCTTGAACTCCTGACCTCAGGTGATCCACCTGTCTTGGCCTCCCAAAGTGCTGGGATTACAGACATGAGCCACTGCACCCAGCCATGGTGACTAATTATTATTATTATTTTTGAGACAGAGTCTCACACTGTTGCCCAGGCTGGTGTGCAGTAGCGCCATCTCTGCTCACTGCAACCTCTGCCTTCCGGGTTCAAGTGATACCCCTGCCTCAGCCTCCCGAGTAACTAGGATTACAAGCGCCCACTACCACGCCCACCTTTTTTATTTTTTCTTTTTTTGAGACGGAGTCTCTCTGT